TTGTGCTGAAAAACAAGGAAACAGAAGGTAGACTTCAAGTATGGTGGTTGGCCCAGATTTTGTTCCTGGTGTTCAGACATCAATGCAGTGCACCACACAGATGGCACCTTCAACCTGTTGCTATGACCCCAGGGACATTGCCAAGTCAAACGCAGAACACAGATACAGCCACAATATATAGAGAGCAAATCACCTAAAATGTCCTGTAGTGAGTCATGACCTGGTTTTCAGAAGCGTTAACACCTAGATCATCAGGAAGCATCACCAGGTGCTTGGGGAAACAGCTTATTTTCATTTAAATTATTTTTCCTTAAAAGGAGCTTAGGTATCCGTATCCAAGATTATTTCATAACAACATTACTGGGTTTCCCTCAGCTCGCTTTTCTGAGCTAAATGAAGCAGTATTTCTTGGGTGTGTAGATGGAAGGGTCTGAACACAACTAACAGGCTCATGAACACTCAGTTCTGACCTAATCCTCTTCCTCAGCTACTTCCTACACATTATGTTAGTTCAGATCCTTTTTATGTCAATAGACTCAGTAGAAAGAGTCCTCTGTGGGATCTTCTCTGTTGTCTCTATACCAAACCCACCTGCAGTAGATATAATATGCATTAATAGCTCTGCATTTTTTTTAAAGGAAATAGCAGGTGCATGGGGGTTGTTCTGGATCATGACCACAGGGAGCAGGGTTCAACTCTTTGTCCCCTGCTGTAGTACTCATCAGGATCAGGGGACATTTGCCCTATATTTGCATTGGAAGGAAGTCTCTCAATCGCACCAGTGGACGCTTTCTTTCCAGTGCAAATAGCAGGCATGGAGGAGGGCTATCTGGACTGGCAACACAGTTGGGTAGAAAAATGGGTAAAAAAACCCTCCACACCAGCATACTTTTTCTGGATTGGATGCTCTATGCCTGCTACTTGACTTTCAAATGCTCACTCACCTGTTATTGCTCCATGTCTACTTTGACCCTGAAAACAATGGGAATAGGACCCCGACTGCACAATTCTATGTATGTCTATGCAGAAGTAACTCTCACTGAGTTCCATTGTGGTAAGTGAGCATAACAATGAGCCTTTAGTCCATCATTTGCTTGATTGCCCCTGGCCTGGGGCTGGGGGGAGTTTCTGGAAACTGATATTGGGTAAGAGAAGGAAATGAACACCTTTGTTTCCTTTAACAATATGTGGAGAAAATAAATTACATCAGCATCGTTTCCCTGATCTGTAGAAGGCAAGCAGAAAGAACAACCCATTATTCTAGTTAGTTAGTTAGTTAGTTAGTTGCTCTGATCCACAGACTGATTCAGTTATCCAAGCTCTAGTGCATACTGTCCAGAGAGGTTTAAATATCTCCTTCCTTGATGGTATTCAGGAAAAGACTAGATAGATACTTCAGATATGGGCCGTTCTGTCTTTGGCTTGTGGATTGGAATGATCTGTCCATATTTATGGCTCTGCAGTTCTATGATCGGTGACATCATTTCATCCTGCATTGTTCATCCACAGATAATCAGCACATATCTTCCTTCATTAAACACACTAAGAAGGAAGTATTTGCCTGCCATCTACCAAGGGCATTTAACTGAAGCAAGATTGAACATTAAGGAGGTTATTCTAAAGGATCAGTGGTGGACTCAGTGCAAGACTTTGGGAGCAGAAGTCCAGCGTCCCGCTCAGCAGAATGAGTAGGAAATTCCCCAATGCAGCAGAGCTTGCTTGGCACATTTTTTAAAGTAAGTGAAGAACTATACATTGCCATCTAATGGGGGGAAGGGCCTAAAAATTAAGTCCAGAATCTAAAATTTCCTAAGTGCAACACTATAAATGAAGAAACAATTCTGTACGCTTCCAAGAGAAGTTCTGGAATCTTCTTCCTTGAGAGGTAGCCAAAGGAAGATAGGCAAGAACCGGTCATGGATACTTTGCCTGCAAGACATGGAGCACCTGCAGTATCCAAGGGGCCCCTGCGAGTATACGGTGCCATGATTCTATTATACCTTTTCATTCAGTGTTGGTCAATGAAGCCACACAAACAGTCAGCTGATCCTGCCTCACAGTGACCTGATAGGGTGTCTTGGAAGCAGCGGCCTTGTATATATATATGGATCTGACCAATCCCTCTTTTCCTCCGCTAATTACATCTCTGTTTATCTGAGTGTGTAAATATTACTTCACTGGCAACTTGAAGAAGCCATAAAGGAAGACAATCTCCACCCAGTCCAAAATATCAACAAAAGCAAGAGTGGGTGTGGGAGAAAGGCAAGAGATAGGCCCCTGAGATTTTGTTTTTATTTTCAAGTCATCCAGTACAGTGCAATAAGGAGATGAAAATAATCTGGTAGGAAGATTTCCAAAACCTAGCAACGGAATCAAATCAAGTGCGTTAAGCTAGGTCCTCTTTTAAAGGGGGGGGGAGAATCGTATCAAAGGCCTACATTTCCTCTGTATGTGTGGAGACAGAAAACCATCTCCCCTCTTTTGGTAAATATAGGGATTCCAACACTCCATGATGCTTTTGAAGAGATTGTACTTTGTAGATGAACATCCTTATGGGTGGCCAACATGATGGGCGCAGAAGGCCGGGGGGAGACCAGAAGGTCCCCAGAATCAAGCTCTTTAAACCGCAGTGCTCTTCAATCTTCCTAGATCTGGGCTTCCCCTCTGCCTGCAAGGGCGGAGAAATCGCCTGCCGCATTCAGCACCAGGGACAGCGCCGTCCCTTCCCGTCTCTTCCCCCGCTCCCCACAACCACCTGACGCCCCCAGTTTGCCCCCTTTCGTCCCTGCCGATGCTCTCCTTTGTCCCTCCCCACCCCAGTCTCTTTGCCTCCGCGGGGTGGGCTACTTACACTGCTCCGCTTTGGTGGACATGGTGGGGCCCGGGTGGAAGTGGTTGCTCCCAATATTGGCGGCGCGGGGTCTTCTCCGTCGGCTAGCGGGGAGCGGCGCTCTCCTGCCGCGGCGGTGAAGTCACCCTGTCTCCCGAGCTGCATCCCTCCCCCTCGGCTGCCTCTATCATCGCTACGGAGCTGCAGAGCGGCAGGGAAGGGAAGGGAAGCAGGCCAAGGAGGGAGGGGAGAAGCCACGAGGGGGCGGCGGCTTCGAGGAGCCCCCGCGCGCTCCAAGCGCGGACCCCCGTTCCGCGCCCTAGGCTAGGCGGTGTCCAGGGGCGAGCGCGCGTAAACGGCCACGCGCGGAGAAGGGCCCATTTTACAGCCGAGGCAAAAATTAATAATCAAGAGGGCCTCCCCCCCCCTCGTTTGCGTGAAATGAGCTCGACCGGAGAGGAACGTGGAGGCGGGGGAGGGGGGAGTGTTCCATTCATGAAGACGGGCGGCTGAGCGCGGCCAGCCTTTTAAAGGGACTGCCGTTCGCAGACCCCGCGGCAGGGAGGGGCTTCCGCTTTTTCTGAATGGGAAGTGCGCCGCCTTCTTTTGCAGGACCTGCTCCAGGGCTGGAATTAGGGTTGCCATGTTTTGGAGAGCAAAAAAGAGAGAGGACGCTGTGACGGCCATTCAAAGCAATAAATGCAATTTGTAAAAAAAATTTAAAAATGCCCCTGAATAAGAGGACACATGACAACCCTAGCGCCCGCCAAAATAAGCACGTGTTTATGGCATCAGGGGAAGTGGAGGATTCCCATAATAAGCTGCTGGTTGGCCATCCAGCCAGCTGCTCTTATGTCCCCAGACAGTTAAGTCCTGTCAAAGGCAACTTATGGGGTTGCGATGCTCATCTCGCTTTCAGGCCAAGGAAGCTGGCATTGGAACAGCTTTCTGGGTCATGTGGCCTGCATGACTCAACTGCTTCTGACACAACAGAACACCGTAGGGAAGCCAGGGCACACAGAAATGCTGTTAACCTTCCCACCGCAGTGGTACCTATTTATCTACTTGCACTGGCATGCTTTCGAACTGCTAGGTTGGCAGGAACTGGCAAACCCAAGAGGCTCAGTGGTTTAGACCACAGCGCCACCCGCGTCCCTTCCCAGTTCAACCATCATTTAAGGTTGATTTTTTTCTGCCCCGCACCCCTTGTTCCTGATATAGATCTTCACTCACCCCTCTTGTTCCCTGTGTAAATTCCCATCCCTCCATTGTTCCCAGTGTGGATCTTCACTCCCTGCTTTGTCCCTGGCTGCAGGAGGCATTTTGTGGTTTGCCCTAGGTGCCAAAACGTCTAGAGCTTCAGCGAGCCGAAAATAACAAGGTGGTATTATAACAGTAAAAGGGACACGGTCGGTACTGTGGGTTAAACCACAGAGCCTAGGTCTTGCCGATCAGAAGGTCAGCGGTTCGAATCCCCGTGACGGGGTGAGCTCCTGTTGCTTGGTCCCTGCTCCTGCCAACCTAGCAGTTCAAAAGCATGTCAAAGTGCAAGTAGATAAATAGGTACCGCTCCGGTGGGAAGGTAAACAGCATTTCCTTGCGCTGCTCTGGTTCGCCATGCTGGCCACAAGACCCGGTTAGTCATGCTGGCCACATGACCCGGAAGCTGTACGCCGGCTCCCTTGGCCAATAAAGTGAGATGAGCGCTGCATCCCCATAGTCGGTCACGACTGGACCTAATGGTCAGGGGTCCCTTTGCCTTTTATTATAACAGTGGTCATTTTCATGCTCTCTTCTTACAATATAACAAAGCAGGAAAAAAAAATTTCTTTCCCCAAATTCAAGGGGAAAGCTTGAGGTTTTTGGGTTGTTGTTTTTTTAATACACACAGAAGAATTAGAAGTCTGAGACAGGTCACATTTCTGTGGAAATTTTTTGAAGATGTCAGTGACATAAAACAGGTTGCTCCGGCCTCCTAGGTTGTCCAAACATCTAAATGTAGCAGATTCAAGAACACCAAGTCCTGGGAATTAAATTACTCAAGTGTCTTCAATGCTAAGGTCATTGTTTTCCCGTAACTTCCACAGAGTCACTTTGTTTAGTTAATTCTCCAGTGAACTGCTACAGAACCTTGGCGATCCAGCTGCAGATTGTTGTCTCTTCCCTTTGCTCCAAGTAAATCAAGTAGGAAACAAAACTCTAATTATGTGGAATATTCTGCATCATCTTCCTGGTTGTACTGCCAACCAGATGGGGGGGAAAACACTCATGTCTTTCCCTCCCTCCCTCCAACTGGCTGCTTTTACAACATAATCCTGTGAATGTTGGCGCAGAAATGCCCCACTGAGTTCAGTGGGGCTTACTCCCAGGTAAGTGGGCACAGGACTTCAGCCTCACAGAGCAATTCTGCAAACTTCTGCTCAGAAGTCAGTCCCCTTGTGTTCAGTGGGGCCAAATCCCAGATTAATGGGTATAGGTTTACAGTCTTAATTGCCTTTCCTTCCCCTCTCAGCTAGCAGAAAGTAATTAATACCTATAAGCCATCAAACCCATTATTAAGCAAACATCTTTATCTAGCAAACAATACAAGAGCTTTGCATATTCAAAGTCCATGTTTGCAGCAACTTAAAATGCAAGTTACTGAGATTTGTAAGCTTCCAAATGCAGCAAATATTTAAATAAATTCTTTATTCTGAATAAACATTATGGCATGTACTTTGCAGCTTATATTTTGTTGCCGTGCAATGTCCCAGTGTGGTTTTTATTGTTCATAAATGCTTGGGAGCGCTCATTAAAAATGGTGGGGGAATAAATTGTGATTCATGTTTGCTTTAAATAATTAGGAAAACTTTCTGGATGTTAACTTGGCAAGGTCTATCTAGCAGATCTGCAAAAACAGTCTGCTTCTGGCAAGAAAATTTGCTACTGAGTTAATGCCGCTCCCTTTTCTCAGGAGACAGAAGACTGTTGGATTTTTCCACATACTCAGTTGGATATAGATGGGGGTTGAAGAAGCTTAAGAATAAGCTGTACCATGACAACTTTTGATTTTGCTATTTGAAAGAGAGAGGTTCTCAAGCCTAAATCCTTTAATGCCCTGATTTGGTTGGATTTCTGATGCAGGCATTCCCAGAGAACATGCAAAAGGGAGCTTCCTATATCCCCTGTATGATGTCTGAATGCACAACTAACATGAAAATCAATACATCTGCAAAGAAAACACAGTGGAGATCAAATGAAGCCTTAATTACGTATGTGAGAGCCAGTGCTGTCTCATTTATTTGATCGTTTATTCCATTCATCAGTCATCCAATAGCAATAGTTCTCTGGGGCTAAATAGATTGTGAAAATGGATTAAAAATCGCAATTCCAATAAAACAAGAATCAATAAAAAGACCTAGAGCAGATGTGGGGAAGCTGCTGGGAAAGATCTCTGCCTTAGGACTTGGAACATAGAAAGCCACCTTATACCAAGTCAGACCATTGATCTATCTAGCTCATTATTGTTGGCAGCTTGCCAGAATTTCCAATGGTCCTCAGTCCGTTCAACTTCCCAAACATTCGGAAACCAAAGCGCCGCTTCTGATTGGCTGCAGGAAACTCCTGCAGCCAATCAGAAGCCCCGCCGGATGTTCGGCCTCCAAAAATAGTTCGCAAACCAGAACAGTCACTTCCAGGTTTGCAGCGTTCTGGAGCCAAAACCTACGAGAACTAAGCTGTTCAAAAAGCAAGGTACGACTGTACTTTGCTCAGAATGAAATTATATTCAGAATGGAAGCATGCAAGAACTGATATCAATTCCTTCATTAGCATGAATGGGGATATGCGACAGGGCAAAATGAGGATGGCTTGAATAAATATTTGATTCTGTATCTCTTGCTAGCAGCCAGAATAGCTATTGCAAGAAAATGGAAATATCTAGAGGGATTAAATAAGGATTTATGGTGTGGTGAAAACTGGTCCATAGCTATAAAAATGAACTAAAACATTAAGGTATACTAGAGAGCAAACCAAAAAAGATTCATTTTCAACGATGTAGCAAAAAATAATAATTGTATATTCATGATGATAACAGCGTTCAAATTCCTCCTGTAAAATATGCTATTTGAAATTCTTGGCAACTACAATGGTACCTCAGGTTACATACGCTTCAGGTTACACACTCTGCTAACCCAGAAATAGTACCTTGGGTTAAGAACTTTGCTTCAGGATGAGAACAGAAATCCTGCTCCGGCAGCACGGCAGCAGCAGGAGGCCCCATTAGCTAAAGTGGTGCTTCAGGTTAAGAACAGTTTCAGGTTAAGTACAGACCTCCGGAACGAATTAAGTACTTAACCTGAGGTACCACTGTATTCAGTTTGAAGGCGCTGATGGACCAATGCACCTCTCCCAATGGTGGCCTGTGTGGGGTTGTGGCACCCAATCCACGACAGTGGCAACTTTCCAGCCCAGAAGAGAAGAAGAGTTTGGATTTGATATCCTGCCTTTCACTCCCTTTAAGGAGTCTCAAAGCGGCTAACATTCTCCTTTCCCTTCCTCCCCCACAACAAACACCCTGTGAGGTGAGTGGGGCTGAGAGACTTCAAAGAAGTGTGACCTGCCCAAGGTCACCCAGCAGCTGCATGTGGAGGAGCAGAGACGCGAACCCGGTTCACCAGATTACGAGTCTACCGCTCTTAACCACTAAACCACACTGGCTCCCAGGGCCCAGGGCCAGCCCCACTGGGTTCCTATCAGGCTGTAGGCAGGCCTTAGCCAAACCTAGTCTTACCTGTAATCAATAAAGTTGTGGGCTAATTCAGCCCAATACCAATCTCCTGTGTTCATTTTCCTCAGACTTCCCGCACTGGCCGCAGACATCATGCACCTGTGGCGGCAATTGAAACATGCAGAAATGGGCACTCTGTGTAGCCTTAAGAACCACAACACTTTAAGGAAAGAATGTTGAGATTTCATAGAATCATAGAATTGTAGAGTTGGAAGGGACCACGAGTGTCATCCAGTCCAACCCCCCCCCAACCCTGTGGGAATCTTTTGCCCAATGTGGGGCTCGAACCCGTGACCCATAGATTAAGAGTCTCATGCTCTATCAGCTGAGCTACAAGGCTGAAGGAGAGTCGTCCCCCAAAAAATAGCAAAAAGTTTTTTTATTTGTAAACTTTATTAATAATATTAAATTCTACAAACGTCATCAATGGAAAACACAAATTCATGACCCATCAATTGATTTTACAAATACAGTATCCATAATAACTAAACTGTCACTCATTCAAAGAGCTCTTCCGTAACTATATAATTCAGTTGTCTTTTAGACTGTCTTAAAGATAGCTGCTGGTTCTCCATCAATTTTATCCAATTCATGACTCCTAAAGAGGATTTAAAAAAAAAAAAAATCTCTAAACAAATCATTATAGCAACTCATTTGGAGAATTCGCTGAGGAAGGGCTGCAGCTCTGAGAGATGCCTGTGAAGATGTGTGTTCTTTGTTGTATATTGTGTTGTTGAAAACCACCTTGTGTATAGTAATATAGAAAGGTGGTGTACAAATTAAAAATGAAATGGGGGGGGGATGAAATTAAGCTTCTGCTCTCACAAAGGAGAGTTCCCCAACTTCTGAGGCAGTCCGTTCCACAGTCAAACAGTACAGTCTGGGAGAACTTCTTCCTAATGTTGAATCTAAACCCCTTTTCTTGTGATGTTGGTTTGGATCCTGCCCTCTGGGGCAGCAGAAATCTAATTCTCGCCTTCATCTATGTGACAGCCATTCAAATATTTAAAGATTGCTTATTACATTGTCTCTTCCCCTTTACATTGAAGCTCCTAGATGGCCCACAGTGCTTTTGTTTCACATATAAAAACAGATTTGTAATTCCCAACCTACTAAGCATGTGTGTTCATTAGCTGTGTTCTAATTATCAGTGTAGGAGATCACATAATTCTATCTATTCCTATGGTAACAAATTAAGATGTGTGTTCCAGCAGCATCTAATGAGATTTGTGCAGACTACTAATTTGGGGGAAGTTGTGTTTCTTCGCTGATCATGGACGAAAGCAAGATCCCCCTGCAGGCTAGTTGAGTGTTCTCTGCCAATTAGCTCTTTAAAGTATATATGCAGTACAGCAGATTCTATCAATTATATTCTAACACTATTAAATATAAATCAGATGCAAAGTAGAAGAAGAATATAAAGAACCCCAGTTTCAAAACAACTTTATAAGGCTTGTTTAACCATCTGTGATGCAGGTGACAGCTAGTTAGGATTTCCATTACGCTTGTAGGCATTTTGCATAATTGTCAGTGACTGGCTGGATACTGAGGGGATAGTGGCTGGATTCTGATGAGCGGGCACCAGGGGAGGGGAGTTTGGAGACTGGCTTGGAAGAAGGGATCAGTGATCTGGGAGAGCCTGTAGCAGCCAGGAGTTGAGAGTCAGAGGCAAGAGAAGCTGCAGGATTCTGGAGCGAAGAACAGTTGCAGGAGGAGGGAGAAACAGGCCAGACTGGTGAAGAGTCCAGGCCTTTCATAGTGGGGTAGGAGAGCTGGGGGGGGGATTCACATCAGGCATTGGTTTCTGCCCCTTTGGTTTCAGATAGTACATGGGTAGTAAAGGTAAAGGGACCCCTGACCATTAGGTCCAGTCGTGACCGACTCTGGGGTTGCAGCGCTCATCTCACTTTATTGGCCGAGGGAGCCGGCGTACATGTGGCCAGCATGACTAAGCTGCTTCTGGCGAACCAGAGCAGCACACAGAAACGCCGTTTACCTTCCCGCCGGAGCGGTACCTATTTATCTACTTGCACTTTGACGTGCTTTCGAACTGCTAGGTTGGCAGGAGCAGGGACCAAGCAACAGGAGCTCACCCCGTTGCGGGGATTCGAACCGCCAACCTTCTGATCGGCAAGTCCTAGGCTTTGTGGTTTAACCCACAGCGCCACAGTGGGTAGTAGTAGAGTCTAAAAAGCCTGGGACACAAATTTTCTTTCTTTTTTTATATATAAATTTATTTGGTTTTCCCAATTAAAATTTGACAGTCCCATATCCAACATACATAGAAACAAGATTCCAAAGGCTCTCCTGGACTTCCTCCCTCCCCTTTTTTAAATCATTTTCTCCTGCATCTTTTATAATTATCCAAATCTTTCACCTCTCCATTGTGTCCAAAATTCACCATTAAACTATAAGTGTTATTCCAATCCTACTAACGAGTTTAACTGGTTTTTAAGATAAATTATAAATTTCCCTCATTTCTTATTAAAATTTTGGTCTTCCTGATTTCTGATCCTTCCGATCATTTTAGCCATTTTGGCATAATCCATCAACTTGATCTGCCATTCTTCTCTGGTAGGGACTTTTATCTTCTTTCCATCTCTGGGCCAATAACATCTGCGCAGCCATGGTCACCTACATAAATAGTCTTTTTGCTCCCTTGGGATTTCGGCTCCCAAGGCTCACAGATTTTCACAGCCCTCTAGCGCCTATGGTGACTCATTTACCAGATTTAATGTGTTTAGCGATAACTCTGTGTATACTGACCAAACTAAGCCTCCTGCTCTACATTTTGCTCTAGATGTGCAATATATTGGCATTGTTTTCAGCTCTCCTACCGCACTACCATGCCTCCTCTTTCTGCGGCTGCCTCTGCTGCTCCACTGTCTCCCAGGACCAGGAGAGGATTGGAGTGGGGGGAGCAGAAGCAGGTGACACACAGGTGGAGTTTTTGTGTGCAGCTCAGGTAGGGGAGATACATAAGCCAAGGTTGGGGGCGGGGTGTCAGGAACTGGGCAGAGGACGAATGATGGGGATTCGCTCCCCAGCCTGACCATTCCAGGGAGGAGGAAAAGGAAGACAGTATAGATTTACCACAGGGGTTGGAGGGATGTCACAGCTCAGAGGCAGATGAGGGGGAAGTTGGGAACTAATTGGAGAGGATGAGGAGGAAGAAGGGGCAACAGCTGACGGACACAGACCCCCCCCCCCAGAACCCGGCGAGCCTTGAAAGTAGGAGAGCAAAGAGCTCAAAGACAGAGGGCACATAGCAGTACCCATAGAAGTAACGAAGGAGGAAGTAGGAGAGACCAGGGTGTGGAGATTCACTCTGGACAATGCCCTTATCCAGGAGGCTGGGTTCTATAGCCTCTCTCTCTCTGTAAATACTGAATAAAAAGTGGATGGTAAGAACATTCCTTGTTTTTGTATGTTCCTGGGCAACCGGCCGTGGGAGTTGCTGGCAGCAGCCTGACTCGGGGCCTCTCTGTTGCGGAAACTGCATCATCGGGTACACACCTAGGCGTAGCTGAAAAGTAGGACTGATGGACATGCCTTTTCCTAACTTGTAAGTGTACTTTTGACTTAATTCCTCACTCTGGACATTCCGTGCCTGACAGCAATGTTGCTGTGGGCATGTCAAGTTGTTGTCAACGAGCCAGGTCAACCACAGGGCAGGCACACACATGGGAGGCACAGGTTGCAATTAGGTCTTTATCAACAGAAAATACCATCACAGTAGAGTCCTCCGGTTTGTATTAATCCGGCTGAGACCTTGCCGAAACTTACCACTAGCTCTTCCCTCCCCTTCTAACCTTTTAATCTGGATCCCTCCCAAGCAGATGAGCACTGCGTCAGCAGGACTGGGGCTGTCTGCACTCACATTGTGACTCTCAGACTTTAACTCTGTCCTGGAGGGCCTCCTTCTTCTGATGCCCCCCCCTTGATTGCTCAACCCCCTTGCTTGTAGCACCTCCCAGCTTGTCCCTTCTCCAGACTGCTTCCCAGTGTCCCACCACCAGGATCTGGGATCGAAGTCTTCTTCATCTGAGCCCTCCGGGGGGGGGGCTCTTGCGCAGGGGCCTCCCACCACTCTTCCTCATCCAGCCAGTCCCTGAAATGGCACCTAGTGGGCAGTGCCTGCATGGATAGCACTAAGCAAAACAGGGCAGCTGCTGGAGACCGCAGGTGATCACACAGCACAAAGAGTCTTTCCCCAGATCCAGTACAAAGGCAGCCTCCTATCTCCTCTTCTGATGACTGTGAGACCAGTGGAGAAGGGTGAACTAAGAGCTACTGCTAAGCGACAGAAGAGCAAGTTTCTTGCCTCTGGATTCAGGCATCTTCCTTGAGGACCTCTGGGACAAACAGCTGAATTGCCTATCTCTCTCTGGGGCAAGGAACTACAAAAATTGGGAGCCGGGCCAGCGAATCACAAGTAATTAAGGACAACAGCTCCCCTTCTCCTATCGTGTAATGGACATGCTTTATAATACCAGAGGAAAACTGGGGGGGGGGGGAATTGCACCAGGGCCTTTTATTCCAATCCATACTTCAAGCAACTGCTCAAGACCTCAGAACAATATATAAACATTGATGTACTTTACCAAATATGTTATTTATCTCTTTTTTAAAAAAAAAACCCCAAAACACCACAGTTTCATCTCCTGCCATTCCCATTCCTCTGGTCCATGTCCTTTGTTTACTTGGCTATCAGCAGACAGCCTTATTGCTTATCAGCAACACTTTAATGAAAGATAAATAACAGGCAAACACTCATCAAGTTATTTCCTGTATGATATATATAGGGAAAGACATGGTGTGTGTGGGTGGGTGTGTGCGTGTGGGTGTGGGTGTGGGTGAAATGCAACTAAATCCCAAATCTTCTAAGCAATTAGGAGCGCTCATTAACTCAAAGTGCACGAATGATCCCCTTGACCTCGACGGATTACTACTCGTGTGTCCTCAATTCAAGCGTGATCATGCTGGTAAAATCAGAGTTTTGTGTTTGTGCCTTGTCAAAATCTCTTTGGTGTTATCTAATGAACACTGGGTTGTTTTGCAGCCTGCACTGAGGAGCACAGGCTTGAAACTATGGGAATCTTCCCATGGACCTAATAAGTCTGTAATCAGGCCGGCTGTGGTGAGAGAGCTATCCTACACCTAGGAGCTGAGCAGCTCAATATGAGATCAGTTGAGATACCCCCAGAGACTTTAACTCTAATCCTCGTGGACGGCTGGCATTGAGTAATGATGACTTAAATGATCGTGCGGGAGAATCCAGCATGAGTGCAGCATCAACAAAACCAGACTTCACCCTTTACTGCCAATTCTCACAACTTTTTTAAACTCCTTCATTCTTTTTGGGAGATTCAGGACAAATAAAAGAAAGTACTTTTTCATGTAAGGTAAAGGTAAAGGGACCCCTGACCGTTAGGTCCAGTCGTGGCCGACTCTGGGGTTGCGGCGCTCATCTCGCTTGACTGGCCGAGGGAGCCGGCGTACAGCTTCCAGGTCATGTGACCAGCATGACTAAGCCGCTTCTGGCGAACCAGAGCAGCGCACGGAAACGCCGTTTACCTTCCCGCCGGAGTGGTACCTATTTATCTACTTGCACTTTGATGTGCTTTCGAACTAATAGGTTTGCAGGAGCAGGGACTGAGCAACGGGAGCTCACCCCGTCGCAGGGATTCAAACCGCCGACCTTCTGATCGGCAAGCCCTAGGCTCTGTGGTTTAACCCTCAGCGCCATCCATGTACCTTCTTCTTCATGTAGCACATAGTTAAACTCTGAAACTCACCCCCACAGAGGTAGTGCTGACCACCAAATTAGGTGGCTTTAAAAGATGATTAGACAAATTCAAGGCTATCAATGGCTACTAGCCACGATGGCTAGGCTCTGTCTCCAGCTGCAATGCTTCTGAATACCAGTTGCTGGAAACCACAGGAGGAGGGAGGGTCCTTGTACACAGGTCCTGTGTTATGAAAGGCTTGGGCAAAGAGGAATGATGGGAGGAACCAGTTAGGGAACAACCAAGGGATTAAGGTCCGGAGCCCGTGGATTTGTGGTGGGACAAAAATAAGTGGTCAGACAACAATGAGAGAGAAGACTGGGAAGAGGGGGTGTTGGAAGCTGAAGAGTTAACAGGATTTCGTGAGCTGGGAGAGTCTGTGACAGAATCAGAGACAGAAACTGAAGCACGAGGGTGGAAGGAGAAAGGCCGAGAGGCAGAGATTATTTAGCCTGGTGAAGAGTCCTGAGTGCCTCCCGCTCCTGTTGCAACAAGCTCCCCTCCCTCCTTGTCTCCCAGAACCAGAAGAGACATGAAAAGGGCGGAGGAGAGATGGGTGACATGCAGACACAGTCTCTGATTGCTTGGGGGGAACCCTGGAGAGGAGGGGATATAGGCAGTTGTGGGGAGGCAGGAAACTTCAGTCTCAGCAACTGTTTCACGGGGACAAGAACTACCGGAGATGTACTGCTGTGCTCATTAGGCCTGGCACTCCTGTTATTGTTTTTGCTAATAAAGAGTTAACTCCAGTTTGCACATTGTGATTTACTGCTGGCTCGCTCTTGACATCCTGCTTGTAGGCTTCCTGCAGGCATCTGGGGGCCCACTGCAGGAACAGGATGGGTCATTGGCCTGAACCAGCAGGCTCTTCTTTTGTCTCCTTGATGCATGACTGTTATTAACCCATTCAGTTAGGCTAGAATTCCCATTTCTAAGGAGAAACACTGAAACTACCCAATAGTTCCATAGCTGCAATGGACACCTGCGCCAATCCACCTGGGCAAGGAAGGGCCAGGGCTCAGTCTAAAAGTGATACAGAAATGCTACTCATGATTCAAGATGAATGGTGATTTTTGCTGCAGATTGATATATGAGAAAATGCAGTTACATTTTTAAAAAATGCCAAAAGAAATGCTAAACAGAATTTTAAACAGTTATTGTCCGTAAGCGTTTGCGTTTTCACAAAGCAACAGTAAGGTAAGAACAACAGGCGCAGAACCTGGAATTGGTGCTTCTATTTTTAGCTGGTAGGACTTCAAGGTGACTTTATTTTCCAGGGCCGTTGATAGCAGATCTGAATCTGAAGCATCTCGGACGCAGAAGAATGTCTTCTACCTCATTCTATAGCTTGAAATATGGCTCAGGAACCATCCAGTTGGTCCGAGAATAGCCAATGAAAACACTGTTAAACCGATGACGGTTTCCTAAATCAAGGGAAAGAAGGGTCATGCAAGGCAAAACAGAGACGCAAGCGAGGCTGCCTGAGGGGGGGGGGAGCTTTTTGCCTTACAGATACAGCCAACGCTATTGAACTTTTAAAGCTGTAATCTCAGTAATGTGATAGATGCAAAGAACCAACCACAGTGAAAGTTGATTATCCTACAAATCCAGTCACCAGCTGAAGTACTTCATGTCAACTGAAAAGCAAAGTGTGATTTGTCATTTTAGGTCACTATGGGTTAAAAATGGGGGTGGGGGATTACTTTCAAAGCTGCACTACAGCTTAGTGGCTTCGCTTTCCTTTCTAGCTTTTTGCACATTTTGAGGGTGCGCTGCCACAGCTAAGCAGAAACACAACCTTTTTGCACGAGATCTTTCACTGCTCCAGAGTTCCATATGCATGCAGATGGATACATGGAAACCGAAGCAGGTTTCCTTGCCATTGCCAAAACAAAAGAAAATGCATTGCTTTTTTAAAAAAAGTGTGTGTATTTGCAAAACAGTTGCACATGCTAAGTTAAATTTACATACTCAGTTTGAGAAATAATTGCTATCATTTAAGAAGAGATACAAGGCATCTACTCAAGGAAGACTGTGACCACATGTGTGTCTGTTCAGTCTGCTGTTCAGGAGCTAGCTCAGTGTTTTTGTTGGACTACAACTCCCATCATCCCTGACCACTGGTCCTGCTAGCTAGGGATGATGGGAGTTGTAGTCCAACAACCGCTGGGGAACCAAGTTTGAAAAACACTGTGCTCACTGTAGATGGGAAGCTTCAGGACCCAATAACTCATCTTAGGTTGTTCTGGGTGTGATTCAATTCATGAGTCCTGATAGTGGAAGCCCCTGCAAGGACTTAGGCTAGCGCAATGGGGCTTCCCCCCTTCTGTCCCTGCACCCACTTTCCCAAAGTGCTGTGTGTCATGAGATCCCTCAGAACAGTGCACAGGGGAAGAAGAGGGAGGATTGTTCCATCTGACAGACTGAAAATCACAAGTTGCGTCAAAATGCGGAGAACTGAATTTAAGATTGAAAAAATTAGAAACGGAGAGAAATGAAATAGACAAATCCTTCCATCCCTAGTCTGGAGCCCCTCAATTAACTTAAGGGAGCTCATGGAAGGAATTCTTTCCTCCAGGAGCTCTTAGTCCTATTCCAGAGTGGTCAGGCATCTCCCCAGTGTCTTTGGAGAGAGGCTTTCTGGGCATCAGAAAGGGGAGCTAGGAACAAGAAATGCTCCTTCATTAAGTTGTCTCAGGGATCCACACTCATACAGTTGTTCTGATCAAGAGTAGGTTTTCAAGAGAGACAGCTTGCCTTGCCTGATAAATAGATCAGGATAGCTCTCAGGTGACCTGCGTATTCAGCATTCATCCTGATTTGCTTGCACAAAATCAGCAAGCAGGTCAGACAGCATTGGCTATTTATTGACTATTTAATATGATTTGTTTTCAGGGCGGTTAGACAATGTTGCCTCGAGCAAGAGTTACGCCACACTTTCCAGAGCATTTTCCTGACACTTTCCTTCTTGCAAAAAGTCCAGTTCTAAGGGGGGAGCAAGCCTGTGGTGCAAGAGCTCCAAATAAACTTTCAGAGCGCCACCTGAATTTGCCAATGTGCAACCAAATTCGATCCAGAAACAGTGACAATCTCGAAACGCTTTAGATCAGCTCCCATCATCCTTGACCATTGGCCATACTGGTTGGTGCTGATGGGAGTGGGAGTCCAGCAGCATCTGAAGTGTATCCCATTGGCTAGCTCTGCCCTAGACAAGGAGGCGACAGACAAGAAGACAACTTACCAGGGGTCCTACTTTGCCCTTGGCTGGCTTGCTGTGGATGAGACAAAGGTTGCTGTTTGTGGACCTGATGAAGGATAGCAGCCCAGAAGAACGGAGCCGGGAGCCTTGGAGTGCAGCCAGAGCCATCGTCCAAGTGAGCAGGATGAAGCGTTCGATCAACAGACCTCTGCCTGGTTGGCAGCTCTGGCTCTGTTGAACAGAATGGTCTTCAGCAACAGGTAAGTAGGAAGCCTGGGAACTCAATAGCGAAGATCTTGTACATTCAAGAGAGAATGTGCTTTCTAGCACATCTGCATAGTCTGCTGGTCAAGGAGGCTTCTGCTCTAAGGCTCAGCTCTGCTGTTTCCAAAGACAGACCTCTGGATCAGTCGCCTCCCACAAGCTTATTTAGCAGTGTCAGCTGTTGTGCCCAAGGGATGAGAGGATCAGCCAGCTGCTGCTGCTGCTGCTGCTGCTGAGGGAGACAGTGGTACAAGCGAGATGGCTGGATAAAGTCTAGAGATAGGAGCAGTCAGCCAAATATGCTGGGACAAGGCAGGTTCAAGGGTAAGGGAGACAGCCAAAGTCAGGCAGACACGAGGCTGAGGTTTGCTCTGGGAGCTGAGGTCCCCTATCAGCACCCATTGCTGCCCTTAAAAATGCTGTGTACATTTTCCACTGTTATCTCCCCCCCCCCATTAATTTTCACTTTTAATATTTGTCATCATACACAAATCATACTAATTTTACAAATAGGATTCTCAGAATCTCCGAACTTCCCTCCACTCCTCCACGGTTTCCCCAGATATTCTTTTCAAACTGCATCTTATCATGTTCTCCATGTTTTCTTAAATCTCAATTTTTATCATCATACCGCTTCATTGCAAGTGTTCTTAAGATCCTGCCAATGTTTTCAGTTGTTTACAGTGTTCTTTCAAGTAACTTTTTACAAAATCCCCATTCTTTATTAAATTTATTGCCCTCTTGATCTCTGATTTTCCCAGTCATTTTCGCCAATTCAGCATAGTCCACCATCTATATCAGCCACTCTTCTTTTGTAGGTCAGTTGTCCTCCTTCCATCTTTGGGCAAGTAGCATCTGCACAGTTGTTGTAGCACGTTTCCCACTGTTATCACCCCTCCCACCACCCCCCTAAATCAAATAACCAATAATTAAAGCTATAAGGTCAGCAAAAGGAGTAGAGAAGAGGAGTGGAATAAAAAGGCACCTTTCTAAAAGTAGGGAAACATAGAATACAAGCAATACAAGGAAGACTAGAGTTCATTTTGAGTTCCAGATAGAGGCATAACAGAATGGATTGATACCATTCTCTTTTATAACAAGAAAAATCGCCTTTACTATAATTGGCTTTATAGTGTGGAATACGCTGCCAAGAGAGATGCTTTAGTTGTGATTCCTGCATTGCAGGGGTTGGACTAGGAGACGCTGGAGTCTTGTCCAACTCTACAATTCAGCAGGCCATCCTGTTCTAACTTTCAAACACCTTCTTTTAAAAATTCTATTCTACCAGGCCTACGCAAGCAATTAAAAATACATCTTTTTTTTTTTTAAACATACTTGTTTTAAACTTTTCATATCGTACTGCATGGTTTTGTGTGTTTTTGTTGTGAAGCTCTTTGATATTTTAAAATGAAATATCAGTTTATTTGTATAAATATTTGTATAAATAGATAAACAGAGTAACTTTAATTAATCTTTCGATCTTGGAAGCATCTTTGATCACTCTTACCCTATGTGTGAGTTTCTCCATATTCGCCATACACTACACATACCTTCTGGTACCAACATGCAAGGTCTTTCCAATGTGAATGTGAGGCTTATAGCCACCAGTAAATGACCCAGTAAATGTTTATTGCTGCCATCGTAGGCGCCAATTCCTAAGCGCCAAGGTGCCTTCAGCCCCCCTCCCCCAGTTGATGGGCACTGCCATTCAAATTGCGTGAAATTGTGTGCCCCCACCCCGTTCCACCCCGCTCTGCCCCTGCCCCGCCCTTTTAGTGACATCTTTTATGATGTTTCCAGGTCACTTCCTGGAACAGGTGTTGCCTGTATTGTTATTTTCTTTCAATCTCCAGCAAACCTGCCATCCTAAGAGGCTTGGTTTTCCTGGTTCATAAAAACGTTTGCTGTTAATGACTCGTAGAGCAAAGGCACCCCCGATACGCCGTCTGTTCATTTGCACTGTTTGCACAGAAGGAAAAGGGCAAGTTGTTATAAACCCTGGCTGGATTATCAAGCTCCCCCAGGAGCTTTGTTCACCATTTCCTCCCACTGTTTTGGTGAGAATGCTGGGAAGCGGTGACCTCTCAACACAGCGGAGGCTTGAGAAGCACATTCCCAGGGCTCTGCATTCTTGCATTTGATGATCGTTGACGTGCGGCTTCAGACGTTTTGATGCCTTGGCGGATGGCGCCATTAAGAGGAAGCTGACTTTTATTTGCTCAAATAATTGGCACACATTTAAAACGAGTGCTTTGCTAGTCTGTTTCTCCGTTACTTTTTCTACATTTAATTTCATACACAGAGTAGTGGCCACCAGTTTGGATGGCTTTGAATCAGGCTACTCGTCACAAAGGTTATTCTCTGCCTCCACTGTCAAAGGCCATATGCCTCTGAACACCAGTTTCTGCTGGGGAAAGTGCTATCACACCCTCCACGTGTTCCTATTTCCCAGACACAGTCCCTGAACTACAGAAGCCACCCCGGTTTCTGATTTGATCTCGGAAAGTCCCGGTTTTCCTTTTTCCTCCCCTCCACGTCTCAGAGAACTATTAAAAGTGGTGTGTGTGTAGGTGCAAAAAATGGAGTTCTGTTTATACTGAAAATATAATTCCTGCACCAAATGAAGGAAATGGGGAAACCCTTCCTATAGTTCTGAAGGAAAATGTCACCAATCCACTTTAATTTATTTAATTGCAAAGCTTCAGCAGCCAACCATTCTTTAGGAAATGAGTGGAGTGCTTATTTCTTTACTGAAGTGGAACATTACACTGTCTACCGAGAAGTAAGTCCCACTGTATTCAGTGAAGCTTACTCCGAGGTAACTGAGCAAAGACGGTGTAGCCTTCCACTGCAATCCTAAGCATTTTTACTCAGAACTAAGTCCCACTGAGTTCAATAGGATCCCTGCCGCCTCTGATGTGAACAACATCAGGCAAATGCAGCTTGAAAAGCATTGCAAGTGGGGATGACCTTGCTGGTTTTAACGTGAACATACCCAGAGATCAAGGACACGTTCCATCCAGGCAAAAACATCAAGATATCAAGAAAGGCCAGTGAGGGGTATGGCCTTGGGTGGGGGAGTCCTGAGGGCCAGAAAGAGAGGCCTAGGACTCAGCTACATTAGTAAAGAAACAGCAATTTGAATGTGCTATAAACATGCAACACCAGATGGAGCCAGAGAGCAGGAAAAAAATTTAACACGGTTTTCCATAGGAATTTTTTCTCTTTTGTTATAACAATCTAATTTCTGACTTACTTATAGCATTCCCCCCTGCTCTTGTGTGTAGACCCACCCCTAGTTGTTCACCACCCCTGCCCTAAACAGTGTACTGGCTGAGATATCTAAAGGACCACCTTTGGCCAACTGAGGTCATCCCCTGAGGTCCTCCTCTGCGTACTCCTTCCTTCTGAGGTCAGGTTGATACAGCAGGAAGGCCCTTTTCAGATGGTCCATCCAAGTTCTGTAACACTGTCCCTCGAGAGATATACCCACCTGGTATCATATCTCTTCTTTTTAGGCACCAGGCACAGCCTCTCCTGCTCTCACATGTTTTTAAACGGTATTTAAGGGCCTATTTAGGGTTTTCCCATGCAGGCGTGGCTGTTTCTGTCTTTGCGGGTTGTTTGGGGTTGTTTGTATGTATTGATTGCATCTACGCTGCAAGAGGTGGATCATAAAAATGATGAACAAAGGCGTACCTGATTGAGCAAGGCGTGAAGGGCAAACAACGCTGGCTCTGCATACTGATCTCCTCTTCCCTGAGCCAAGAGCCTGAGGCACAGGCAAAAGCCTTCTTCAACCCTATCTTCTACAGTGAGAACAGTATCTGAAGAAATCTCTAGTTGAATGCCACAGTTCCTCAGTCTCATCCCGTAGGGCAGGAATGAGGAACAAGTGCCCCTTCAGATGTTGTTAGGCTGCATCCCCAAGACACATTTAAAGCACTATTATGCCACTTTAATAGTCATGGCTTCTACCCTCACCACATAATTCTGGGAAATGAAGTTTGTTTAGGGGGCTGGCGAATGAAACTCTGTGATGGGTAAGCTGGAGTTTCCAGGATTCTTTGAGGGAAGCCGCAACTGTTGAAGTACAGGTGGCGACCATTTTGTGTATGTCTGATTGACATGGGACTGCTGATGTGTGGGTCCTTTTGGACCCGGAAGAGGGCAGAATGGGGGTGTGATGCGGCGGGCGTATGCGTGCTTCACCAATGTGCGTGAGGGCCAGGAACGGAACCCCCATGAAAATGGTTGTCGCCTGTAATAGAATACTGCTTTAAATGTATGGTCTAAATGTAGCCTAACTCCAACGCCCATCAGCTGCCGCCAGCACAGCCTAACTGGAGAATTGTAACTGCATGTCAGTTGCTCTTTGCACTGGGAAATAGAACGGAGAGCATTGTGTGTTATGTGTGCTGTGACTCTGCTTTTCCTATTAATCAAGGCTCTTCTCTCCTTGCATCCACCTACCCCTTCTCAACTTACTTCATCCTCGGATTAACGTAATCAAATTGCAAGACCGAAGTAAGTAGTTTGCAGACAGTTCCTTAACGTTCATGTTGTGATTTGCACCTAAACTAGAATTAACAAATAAATGTCAAGGCAGTTATAATCAGGGTGATAATTACAAGAGGAGCTAAATTTTTCAAAGTATTTGACTTAAATAAGATGGAATTTTAACTACTGCATTCTTAACTATAAGTTAAGAATGAAATAAATTGTGTCTGTGGCTGGAGAATGGCAACAGGTAAGATGAAAGTGGTTTGAAAGATGATTTGCTTCCAATAAACAGGCACAGAGAGATAGCTCCAGGCTTGAGTGTGTGGGCCTCCTTCTACGTGTGGGGTGGGACGCGCATGTACAAAATTTGGCCATGCACAGACTGAGCTGCTCAGTGCAGATGGGCTTAGGGTAATGAATGAATGAATGAATGAATGAATGAAACGGGCCTAGGGTAAGCATTAACACAAATGAGGCCCTGATGAAGTATTGGTTCCTTGAAAACAAATGCCCAAGAATACTGAATGCCAATGCCAGGCATTGATACACTTTCAGTTACTTTGTCCTACTCTTGCCTATGATCAACATGGTCTGGCCTCAAAGGTCTGCAAAAGCTGTTCACCGGGGGCAAGAGCC